ATAGTTTAAAATTATTATTTATATTTTTTTGATACTTTTAAAATTCAAACCAATAAAACTGATCAGACAAAATTCCTCATCTTTCTATAAGATAGTTTAGATAGGATGGGGTTCCCTACCCGTTGTAGAATGAAACTTAATATTGTGTCACCCTAGCACCCTGTATTCATGGCGTTGAATCTCTCATCACTACGTTGGCCAGTTCGATTATGATAACATTCGTTCAAATCATTCAAATTAATGCATGCAATTATTAAAAAAAATTTAAAGTAATAAATAAAGTAAAAGCGCTCTAAAACCCTGTTTTCCACGAAATTGCTACAGTATTTATATGTCCATAACTTCCATAACATCATGGCTTTACTCTTTTTAACTTTCCTCTTCTAATCTACATATCCTAAGAAATTGCATTGTAATTTGTGTCTTACATTTTTTAAGGTTTACTTAAAAGAACCAGTAGAGAGAGAGGATGAACGTGTGGTTTGAATAAAAGCCATTATTGAACTTCCAAATAACTTGAAGCCTATTCTTTTGAGGTTTCAGACAAGTAAATGAGTTTTGATTCTGCTTGTCTTTTCTCTTTTGTTTGAGAATAGCACATGTTAGGTTATATTACGAGTTTCCGAAGAGGCTATCACCGTACATATGATTGATCACACTTGCATGAGTGTATGTACAAACTAATAGGCATGCATATGACACTCATATGCACACCTGATCCCGCGCGCGCACAGTGAAAGAGAGACCTATTTTACATTTTTACTAGAGAGAGTGAGGAGAGAGAAAGAGAGGAGAGAGGAAAAGAGGGAGAGAGACCTATTTTACAATTTTTATTAGAGAGAGGAGAGAGAGACCTATTTTACAATTTTTATTAGAGAGAGGAGAGAGAGACCTATTTTACAATTTTTATTAGAGAGGAGAGAGAGACCTATTTTACATTTTAACTAGAGAGGAGAGAGAGACCTACTTTACATTTTTACTAGAGAGACCTATTTCACATTTTTACTAGAGAGAGGCCAATTTTACAATTTAGGTGAGAGAGAGAGAGAGAGAGAGAGAGTTTTATTACATTTTCCTTGTGATGAGGGACTATTATTACATCTTGCAGCGTCATTTCAAGGAAGTTTCCCAGGTATTATTAGTCTTTAAATTTGGAGGGCCCAACCATTGAAATGTGAGTCACCGCACATGATAGACTCTTAACAATGATGCCTTACACTTGTATTTCAATATCTTAACAATGTAACGCATTGAGTGTTCATGTTTATCGATCACCATTATTGGGCTATATGACCTTTCTTTCTCTTATTATAGTTTTCTCAATTTTGTTTTCTCTACTTTTATAGAGTTGTTTATATATTTAGCGATTATATTATTATTTTTATTTTGTTTTAAAATGCACGCACGAATGGTCTCCTTTCAAATGCACCTGTTTTGTTTGAGAATGTGTAGCCATAAAACAAGCGAAGTTTGAGATTTTTTTTTTTTAATTTGAAACTTTGCTTATAGTCAATAACACTATTCAAATATGATGAAACAAAAGTAATTTTGACTCCTTGTATCGAAAAATAAATGGTTTTTTTGTACATTTTTCTATAAAAAATTATATTTAGGCTCTTTCTTAAGTTTTTTGTTTTTTTGAGACACAATCGATCCCCTTAACATTGGGAATTATAATTTATTTTTAATCCTTGGGAAGGACAAAATTACCTACCCAAGAATATTTGACATGCCCAAAATTTAATTAGTGAAAACAAACATAGCATGTGCCTTGTATGTGTTTGGTTAAAAATACTGATTTTATTGACCTAACCCCTTCCTCAAGTCTCAACCCTCAAATGCGTTTGCCCTCTTTTTACGCCTTCTTGACCTTGCAATGGCTAATAAATTCAGTATCCTGTGAATTAAATTCCAATTAATTGCATTTCTTTTCAATCAAGTCTAGATCAAATCCGGCTTTTCCCATTTCAACTTTTCTTTGAATGACCGCAATCCTCGTGCTCATAACAAAACGTTAAATTTCCACCATATATATGTTCCTGCTTCTTTGACTCTTTTGAGGTAAGATCATGTGCTCCGGCGAGAGCTAATTGTACATTTGCTCTCCCAGGTAAAATCCCTCCTTACCGTACTTTTAAAACCCAAATTTTAGGAACATAACGTATTCATCAAGCTAGTGAGGAACCTAAAAGCGAGAATTACATCACATCGTGCCATCCAATTTCAATGGTTAGATCTTGATGTTTATGAACTCAAACTCAATACCTATTTTCCTGACACAAATCTCAAGATCTAATTATCTATGAACTCAAAATCATTTCATTTTTATCATTTATCGGGTGATTCTTAAACGGATACCAAAATTTTAGAACAAAAAAAATCTCATACAGTAGCTGTTTGCCTAAGGGAGCAAGTGTACAATTTGTGGGGCACATGCCCCACCTTTTTCATTCTATGGGCAAGTAGTCTAATTTTCTTGTTTGAGAAGGTAAATTTGTTTGGTCTTATTATCCCAAGTACCCCCAGCCGAAATAAGAAGACAATCCCCCCTATCCTTTTCTCGCTGGGGCTAAAAATTAATCGGTTAATGTCGATTCTTTCAAGAAACAAAGACAGACATATTTAATTTCCCAATTTTTATTTAAACTATTTTACAAAAATTCTTAAAAAGGGTTACGAACTAGGTGCTCGCTATTGCTGTAGCCCGACACTAAAAAAATAGGGCTTGGGCCACAAACTGTAGCTCGATGCACACACTAAGGCCAGTGCCGACCCGGTTCTACCAGGCTCAATCCACTATTTTTGTTTTTTTTATTATTATTATTATGGCCCAAGCCGGCAATAGCTGGACTAGAGCCATGCTTGCCCGACCCAAGCCAGACCACTCGCGCCCTTATTAAAAACTTGGATTCCACGTTGGTCACACGTTATTCGAGTCAAACGCTGTGACCGCCCCCCTGCTTTCTCTCTCTATCACTATAAAAATACCACTCAATGCAATCCCTGTATTTATTTTGCTATTGCCACCCAAAAGATGGATTTCCATATTGTAGTTTTGGGCTTCTTATTTTTCTACCATTATTTAAGATGGGAATATCTGAAAATGGGTTCAAAATGTGGTCAGCTGTCTAAGCGGAATGGATGGGTCTGCACGTCATTCTCCGTTAACTGACGGCCGTTACAGCTTGCCAGAAGTCACGCCACTACAGTGATTTTGAACTATTACCAAACTACCACAGATTGGAATAATATATGAACCCGGTTTTTATGAGTCCCCGACTCATACTATTTTCATGCGTGGCCCCTTGACCACGGACCTTCGATCCAAATTTATAGTGATCTATAATCTACACTACGATCATCATGAATATATAAATAAAATATAATTAAATTAAATTTTAAAATATTTTATTACAATATTTTCCTATCCATCGGATATGAATCTTTAGTTGTGGATATTCGTCTTAAAGATTGGAGATGGGCGTTAGTGATTGTGCGGGCTAGTGAGTCCGTTGACCCACAAAGGGCTTTTTCATAAGGGAAAAGTTTATATAAAACCGAAGCTCTAAACAATCAAATTTGAATCTATCTCAAAAATTTCAATAGAAGGTGTTGTTTTGATGTTCAAATATCTTCAAATCGATCATCTTGATATCAAACTGGATGGACATGAGAAAAAAATGGATTTCAAGTTTTGAAAAATAGTGCATATTGTAACATGTTTTTTAATCTTCAATTTTCAAGTATTTCAAGTTTTCATACATATGTTGATTTATACTATTTTTGAAGCTTTAAACTTCATAAATAAATATAAAAATATATTTTAAAGACATTGCAAAGATTTCCAATATTAAAACCACATTCTCTATACTATTTGAAGGTAGGCTCTAATTTGATTGTTTAGAGGTTATCACTATCTTTAATCATTCGATATGAAATCTAATAGATTGAGAAATTCTACTTTGAACTATGTTCCTAATTAATCCCTATCCACCGGATTTTACATCCAATGGTTAATAATTTATTTAAGGATTGTATATGAGGCTATTTATCTTTCTTAAAAAGATGTTACAATTACTACTAGCCATTAGATGTTAAATTGATGGCTTGAAGCGTGAAAAAATATTTTTGAACTTTGAGTCCGGTCTCACAATGCCCAACTTAAAATTTATATTAAAGTAAATAGTTTCCATTTTGAATTTTGGGAAAATCATAATTCACCCGCTTGAGAAGAATGCATCTCTCTTCTTCACCAAGGTTGTTTTAGAGACAAATACTTTATAATTCATCTCTCTCTCCCTCCCTCTCTCTCTTTCCATTTTTTTTATGTCATATCAGATCCATTAATATAGAAATGTGGGCTTTTTAATAAATTTATTTTTAAAATAAAATTCAATTTTAATTTTAATTTTTTTGAAAATTAAAAATAATACTTTTATTAAAAAAACATTTAGATTATTAATTTCAATTATTTTTAAATAAACTATATATTTATATCTATTTTTAAAATAAATGCTTTATATTTCTAGACCGCATATTGTACAAAATGCAATCGAGCCAGCATGAAACAATTGTTCATGTCTTAAACTCGCACATCACGCAATTGGGTTTGTTCATGTCTTAAACACGCACATCACCCAATTGGGTTGCGTCGTAGAAATACTATAAAAGAGAATATCAACTCATTATTCATTTTCTTTGAAAAACCATTGTGATTATTGTCATCATTCTTGAAATCTAAGCCCTCCATCAAAGCCATTGATTGGACTGTGCTGATATCATGACCAATGAATTATGCATTTTGAAATACTGAGAAAGTGGTAGGGCAAGAACGTCATTTACTAAAAAGGGAAGGATCATCCGAACCTTTTCCTCCTATTTTTCATCCCGTCCTTGCATAAATATAAAACCAGAAAACCAGTTCTATCGAGGACCCGGTTTACCGTTCCCGTACTAACGCCGTTACATCCGACGTCCGTTTTGTTAAGGGCCGCAGCATATAAAAGGTAGTTAGCTCTAACAGCAACCCGGATCCGGATAGTTCCAGTAAATATCGGCGAGAAGACTGAGAACTCGATTCATCGCGCGTTAATCTGCTGAAGAATCGGCTTCTATTTCTATATCTGGTTCCCATTTAATCTCTCTTCTCGTGTCTTTTTCATTCGATTCTTCCTGTGGTAAGAATCCAATTTTCTCTCTCCTTCGTGAAATTTCTCTGTTTTTTTCCTGGTAAAATCGTGCATCTTTCATAGCTGTAACCTGTTTTTGCTTCTTCGTCCGAAACAAATCCTGTTTCTTTGTTTTTCGGCTTCTTTTTCTTTTAGGTTTTAGGATTACCAGAAGTCGTTGCAGTAAGGCCAGTTGGGGAACAATGCCTAATTTATCTTGACGTTTTGGGGTTTGTGGTGTTGATATCTCTGAATTGAGGTCCTTGATTTCTAGGGCAAGTCCTTCAAATTTTAGGGCTCAGGGCCTTAAAATTTTTAGGGCATGGTCCTTGGTTTTGAGGGTGGCGATTATTTGAATCTGATATTGAGGTTTGGTGTTTTGGTCTTCTGAATCGTGGTCGAGTTTCCATGATTTTGGGTCACTGAGATTGAGATTTTTAGGGCACAGGTCCTGGAATTTTAGGGCCTTTTGTTCTTGAGATTTAGGGCAGCATTAGCCATTTGGTCATGCATTCTTGAGTTTTAGGTTTAGGGTTTGTAATCTGTAGGGGCGTTCTATTTGATGGGTTTGAAGGTTTAGGCCTTCTTCTTTCACAAGAATCTTCATCATATAGGGACGATTAGTTCCTAAGAATTTAGGGCAAGGCCCTCAAAAAATTTAGAGAGCATCGAGTCCTCAGAATCTGCAATGGATCTCAGGGTATAAGCATTTGTTTGCAGGTCAGTTCCTAAGTTCTTAGGCATAGGTGTCTGTGTGCTAATTTTTTAGAAAATGGGTTTTCTTTCTCAGGCCTTTCTTTAACTGTACATAACCAGAATTTCCTTGAGTTTTTAGCGTAGTTCCCTGTTAAAATTTATCTTTTGAGTTCTTGGATTTCTTCCAAAAATGTCCACATCTGGAGTGGTTCTAAGCCCCGTTCGTGAAGACCCAGTTTTCTTTGGTTCTTATTTCCATGGAAGGCCAATATCTTGCTCCAATGAATCGATCCTTATATACCTCACTGTATCTGGTTCCGTTATTCCTATGAGGGTTTTGGAGTCTGATTCCATAGCTTCAGTGAAATTAAGAATCCAGACCTGTAAAGGTTTTGTTGTCAATAAGCAAAAATTAGTTTTTGGGGGGCGAGAATTAGCTCGAAATGATTGTTTGGTTAAGGACTATGGAGTAACAGATGGTAAGATCCTTCATTTAGTCCTGAGACTATCGGATCTTCAACTTATAACAGTGCAAACAGCCTGTGGAAAAGAGTTTGAATTTCAGGTTGAAAAAAGTAGAAATGTGGGCTATCTAAAGCAACAAATTGCCCGAAAGGAGAAGGGTTTTGTTGATCTTTCAGAGCAAGAACTGGTTTGTAATGGCGAGAAGCTCGATGACCAAAGATTGGTTGATGATATATGCAAAGATCGTGAAGCTGTTATCCATTTGCTGGTTAGGAAATCTGCGAAGGTTAGGGCGAAACCAGTTGAGAAGGACTTTGAGATTTCGATCGTGGCTTTGGATTTAGAGAGAGAACAAAAGGAAGATTTGAATTTCACACGACGAAAGGAGTCAGAGATCCAGCCAATCGTTAGAAAGCCGCCTGATCCTAAGATCTCATTAGAACCTCTCACTGTAAATCCTAACATAAAACTATCCCATTTGCTCAAGGATTTGGTTGAATCAACAATTGCGGGCCTAGATAGAGGAAACAAGCCAATTCCATCATCTGAGGGATCGGGAGGTGCTTATTTCATGAGGGATATTTCCGGGGAAAACTATGCATCAGTTTTTAAGCCAATCGATGAGGAACCCATGGCTGTAAATAACCCAAGAGGTCTCCCTGTCTCTTTGGATGGAGAGGGATTGAAGAGAGGGACAAGAGTGGGAGAGGGGGCATTAAGGGAAGTTGCAGCTTACATTTTGGACCATTCAAGGGGCAAGGGCCGGAAAATTTGTGGGGAAGTATTGGGTTTTTCTGGGGTACCCCCCACGGTTATGGTGAGATGCTTGCATGAAGGGTTCAACCACCCTGAGGGGTATGATGGTAATTTGATGAGGAATATGAAGATTGGGTCCTTGCAGAGGTTTATGAAGAACTTTGGGAGCTGTGAGGATATGGGTCCGGGTGCTTTCCCTGTGGAAGATGTTCATAGGATCTCGGTTTTGGATATTAGGTTGGCGAATGCAGATCGCCATGCTGGGAATATATTGGTATGCAAGGAAGGAGGTCAGGTCGCACTTGTCCCAATTGATCATGGGTATTGCCTGCCTGAAAACGTAAGTTTACCAAATTATTTGTTTGAAATTGATTCGTTTATTTGTCATTCTTATTTTCACTGTCATTGTTGGTTCTATGTTGGTGATGCATTTGAGGCATGGCACATTTCCCTTTTTATTATTTGTGGCTTATATTTTATAGATTGAGCTGGGAGAAATTTTCCTTTTATTTTATAAGATCCTGTTTTCTTTTACGAGATCCTCATTTCCAATAATATATCTATTTGATATACTTTTTTTTCCTAATTGGTATCTACTTGTGACCTTGCTTGATAAATGTCTCTTTGAGATTATTTTCCATGAGAATTGCAGGCTTTGAGTTTTTAACAGACAGTGCATGTGCACTGTTTCTAAATAGTAACAATGCTCTTCTTGCTGCAAGAAAGTTGCAACTGCAAAAATGTGGTTCTCTTTTGAGAATAAAAATTATCAAAAAAAAAAAATGTGGTGCCTAACGGCCTTTAAAAGGTTGAATTTAGAATTTGCTCTTTGGGAATGTAAGATATAATTCTGACTTTTCTTTGTCGTCCCTTTTGTCTCTTTTGATAAGCTTCTTTTATGTATATAAAATTTTGCTCAATTTTCTTCCTAGAACCTTCTGATTTATCCTTTCTGCAATATTGAAGATCTTCTTGATTTTTTCCCTGCTTGACATGTCAATCGGCATAATTGCCTGAGATTTTAATGGAGTCATACTTAGAATTCACCCTAAATCATAAATTCATATTTATTTTTGGGGACACATACATTGCATTTTCCCTGCCTCAGAGTATCTTTCGCTGCCTCAGAGTATCTTTTAAAGCAAGATGAGATCACTTTGTTGTGCTAAAAATTCTTGAATTTGATTGTTTCAGTTTGAGGACTGCACTTTCGACTGGCTCTACTGGCCACAAGCTCATCAGCCCTTCAGCCCAGAAACCCTTGAATACATATCATCTCTTGATGCGGAGCATGATATCGAGCTGCTTAGAAGTTACGGGTGGGAGCTACCTCCCCAATGTGCTCGTGTGCTCCACATCTCCACCATGCTCCTAAAGAAGGGAGCCCAAAGGGGCCTTTCCCCTTTTGCTATAGGGAGCATCATGTGTAGAGAGACCCTTAACAAAGAGTCGGTAATTGAAAGCATAGTTCAAGAGGCCCAAGAGGCTTTGCTTCCATGTACGAGTGAGTCCACCTTCCTTGAAACCATTTCGAATGTCATGGATCGTTACCTTGACGAGCTTAACAAGTGAAAGATTACCCCCTCTCTCTGTCTCTCCACCTTCCTTCTGGTGAAAAAGCCAGTATTACGTATATAATATGCATATGGGTATATATACCTATGTATCTGTGTATGAATTAATGTATGTATGTATTTGATGGCTGCTTGAACTGGCCCCCCCTCTATATGTGTTCATAGTTCATCATTTCGTGTTAAAAGTCCAAATGAGGTGAGAGGTTCTTGGACTACAGACTGCAGCATTGCTTTCTATTTGTTTCATTCCATTTTATTTTTTATATTTTATCTGCAATGTATCTTAAGACGTTCAGCAGCCACAGAGTTTCTATAAGTATCCCATTTATTTGATGGGATTCAAGACATAATATCTGGAATAACTATGTTCTATTTTATTATATATTTATGCTTGTGGATATCTTGGAGTGAGCATGGACAGTTATTCATTATTGTAATGTCATTTGGTGGGTCAAGACTCAGGAGCTGCCTAGCTTCTGTTTATCTTATGGGGCTTTACAGCTGTGTAGGAATGAGTAACGTACGACCTTTGTTACATAGGTACGTATAGGTGTGTCGGCTTCTGACATATATACGAGTTTCAGAATTACTAATATAAAAATTTGCATTTCAGACAAGATATCCTAAACACCATGTAAAAGAGGCGATGGGATTTTAGTTCACAAGTACATTTACATCTAGATTTTGAGGAGAAAGATCAGGAAGTGTCGTTTTTGGAAGTATGTCAAACACAAGTTTTGTATCTTTGGTGTGTCTGACATGACAAAAAGCTATAACATGCAGGTCCATGTCACAGTGTGTATGGCAATGGCAAGCATTTTCAATAGCAAGTATCAGAGGTGTATATTAGGGTTCCCATTATATGGCAATGACAAGTATTTGCTGGAGTATCATAGAGCTGTATATTATGACTCATTGTTTCTTCTGGGTAGGGCAGCTTGGTTGGGAATATGTAAACCTCCTGGCAGTTTGGAAGGAGTTTATGGACACAAAATGCTCTTACCATATATTATGAATAGTGGTATTTCTTTGCCAAATATAAGCAGCAAGATGATTTGTGCCTTTGACAAATGTTGACCCTATCTTATGGTTTTACCGAAAACGAATGGGAAATTAGAGCTGCGGCGGTTTGGATGCCTCCTAAACATTGAATCTGCGTCCAAAGGGGTACCAAGAAGCCCTGAACTATTATAATTTTATTAGAGATGTTTCCGTCGTTACAGATTTGCTATGCCCTTGACAATATGTATCCTTGGGACCAAAAAGGCATCCTCAAGAAGTTCTAGGAATAGAGCCGTTGTGAGGGGTGAAAACAAGGGCCAACAACCATGTTTGGGTTTTAATATACTGTCCAATGGTTTAAGAAACGGATCGGTGACCTTGATCGGGCTTCCAAAAAATCGATCCGGATCGGCGAATCGGCGATCCGGATCGGGAATCGGGTGAATCGGTCAGAATAAAGTTTCAAAAAAATCCGAAAAAATTATTAAAATCCATTATAAATATTGTTTTTTAGGAATTCAATAAGAAATGAAGGTACTCCATTAAGAATTTTCATGTTTTTGAATGAATATGCGAATATTGATATGTTCTTTCCCTGCATGAACTGCCATTCAGCATTTAATTTACATCACACAAAAGGATAAACATATAATTATCATGGAATAAGTATATCAACATATATGGACTACAATAAAGCATAAAATTAGTAACATATGATCTAAAAATAAAATGATAGACGACGTTATTGTTCTTCTTGGTCACGCTGGTGCCATTGATTGAATTCGTTTAACAATTCATTGATTCGATTTAAAAACGAATCATCGATATTAGCAGGCGTCTGACTATTCTCAAATCCCTGAGTGTTAGTGTTTTGTTGTGTTCCCAATCTAAAATCCTTT